TAGTGAAAGTCAGGTTATTCTCATTCTTGAATGTTCTAGGTCAGGATGACAGCTAGGTTCTCTTATGGTGTGTTTGGATGAGGGATTTTACAAATTCAAGGAATTTTAAATTCTTGGTATTTGAATTACTTTGATTTCAATTTCTATCATTCTTAAAATATTTTGTTTGGATAAGTCAATTCAAATTTCTTAAATTTTAAATTGTTAAATTGGATATAATAATTTGATTCTACTATGGTAAAATTGATTTTAAAAATATATTTATATGTTAAAATTTTTGAATTAAATTTTATAAAAATAAATATTAGCTAATTTTTAAATATTTAATAAATTTAAAATTTAATATTAGATAATATTTAATAATTTTAAAAATATTGTTGAATATTTAATAATTAAAAACATGAAGAGGTAAGATAAGATAAAATATATAAGTGAAATAAGAAGAAAAATAATATGAGAAATTTCAAATTCTTACTTTTTTGGGAGAATTTCAAATTCTACTATTTCAAGGAATTTTACAAATGCTTGAATTTCAAATTCTTTTATAAATTTTTCATCCAAACAAGGTATTTTACCTCAAAGAATTTGAAATTCTTCAAATAGATGAATTACTCCATTTAAGTTCTTCATCCAAACAAACTATTAAGGTTCACATCACTAAGAGTTCTCTGGCTACTATCCCCTTACTGAAACATATCCATTTTGTGTTATTCTAATTATTCTTTATGTAAATATTCAAAAAGTTGTTTTTTGTCCATAGTTGATCAAATTCTTCAAAATTGTTCAATAAGTTCCTACTACCTTATCTATGTATATTTTTTAAGGTGTTGTAACTTGGAAACAATGAAAGATACAAGAAAGTGTAGCAACAAAACTAAAAATTATCGTAAATTGGTTTAATAGGATTTGGTAATTAATAGCTTCTTAAGGTGTCCCCACAATAGAAAGGTGTGGGAAAATTTAAGTTGGGACATATCGGAAGGGACTTATCATAACCCTTGACAAATAGATGTTATAACAAATTTATAAGTTATTTATAACGATAGGGAGACTTAACCTCCCACTTCTTATGATAAGTAATAATTGCCATAGTTTTCAAAATGGGATGAAAAGATCTACTTCGATCCGGGAACTAATCCTAAATCAATTTGATTCACCAAAAACCCGTTTTCATCGAAATGATGAAAAATCAGCAAAATAGATCCAAAATTGATCAAAATCGATAAAAAAAAAAAAATCAAAACGGTTTTGAATTAATTTAATTAAAAAAAAATTATTTAAAAAATTATTTATAATATTTTAATAAAAATAATATTTAAAAAAATTATAAATTAGAATAACTTATTTTTAATACTTATC